AATACATCATCCATAAAATTAACAGGCTGACTGACACTGCTATAATCAAGACTACAAAATCAGCTTTAGAGGATCATGGCCAATACAGTGAATGGTTTTAAGGATTATTGTGAACCATACAATCACAGGCTACCCAAGAAATTGTTAAAGACAATTGATCTCAGCTATTGAGTGTTCACTGCATACCAGGAATATGTTCAATGTATTACACATATCATCTCAATTAATCTTCACAACAGTCTCCTAAAATAGGTACTATCACTTTTCTCCTTTAAAAAAAAAAAAACAGGAAACAAACCTGGAGAGGTTAAGATACATACTCAAGGTCGTATAACTAATAAATGAGCACCTGACCACTGAGCCCATGGCTGTTTAATTGCTCTTCATAGTTTCTTTCATTGTTTGCTCTGCCTGAGAACCTGACTCACAGCAGAATGTTGAGGGCTCATTAATGTTTTGCTTCTTCATATTTAATCAAATTGATATCCAGTTAGTCAATAAATAATTATTGAACACCTACCATGCACAATATATGGTAAAATGTATCTAACCTTTTTAATCACTTACTAGATCAATAAGTCAAATGAATGAATGAATGCCTTTTGAATGAATTTTTTGTTGTTTTGTTTTTGTTCTTGTTGTTTTACCATCCTTGGACTGAATCTGGAATTTCTGGCTTGCTTAAATCTTGCCTAATATAATCTGTATACTCGAAAGACGTTTCTATTTCTCCACCCACCCCCATAGTTTCTTTCATTCTACATGATACAAAGAAAATCTTACTTAAATTCAAATGGATAAAATTCATCAAAGGATTGGGAAAAGTCAAAGAAGAGACTAAAAACAAAATTAAATATAACCCCATTGCAAACATAACATTCAGGCATTTTGTATGCTTGAAATGATATATGTGTACCAGTTAGCCATTTAAAAATTTAGCAAACTATTTGATGACTAACAAATTATCCAACATCTCCATGATTTCTAAGTAAGTATGTAAGACTCAAATCATTTCTCTGCACATGACCAAACCTGTCTACTTCAAAAAGTAAAACTTAAGATCTGATAAGCTGACAAACTTCTAATAAGTCACATCACATTCTTAAAATGAAAGCTATTTTTAAATCCTCAGGTCAAATAAAGTATTAGATGGTTTACTTCCAAGTAATAAGAATATTTGAGGCTGGGTGGAGTGGCTCATGTCTATAATCCCCGCACCTTGGGAGGCTGAGACAGGAGGATTGCTTGAGGGCAGTAATTTGAGACCAGCCTGGGCAACATAGTGAGACCCTATCTCTGAAAAAAAGTTTTTTTAAAAAGGTAGCCAGACATGGTACAGCACACCTGTAATCCCAGCTACTGGGGAGGCTAGGTGGGAGAATCACCAGTTCCTGGGGAGGCTGAGGTCGCAATGAACCATGATTGCACCACTGCACTCCAGCCTAGGTGACAGAACAAGACCTTGTCTCAAATTAAAAAAAAAAAAAAAAAAAAGGGAGGGTTATGAGTGTTATTGGTTGTAACAAATATTCCTTTTCCTTTTTGAGACAGGGTCTCACTCTATTTCCCAGGCAAAGGCTCTATCATGGCTCACTGCAACCTCAAACTCCCTCCTCCCTCAGCCTCCCAAGAAACTAGAACTACAAGCATGTGTCACCATGCCCAGCTACTGTTTTTTGTTTCTGTTTTTCATGTTTGTTTTACTTTTCATTTAGAAACAGAATTTTACCATGTTGCCCAGGCTGGTATTAAACTACTGACTTCAAGCAATCCTCCTGCCTCAGCCTCCCAAAGGGCTGGGATTACAGGCATGAGCCACCGCATCCAGCCTCAAATATTTCTGATTCTTGGAAGTAAACCATCTGAAATTTTATTTGACTTGAAGATTTTGAAATAGTTTTCATTTTAACAATGTTGTGCGACTCATTAGGAGTTTGTCAGCTCAACAGATCTTAAGTTTTACTTTTTGAAGTAGACAGGTTTGGTCATGTGTAAAGAAATGGTTTCAGTATTTACTTAGAAACCATGGAGATGTCCGTTAATTTGTTAGTCACTAAATAATTGGCCAAATTTTTAAATGGTTAACATATATATATATATATATATATATATATATATATATATATATATATATATAATTTAAAGCAAGCTTGTCCAACCTGCACAGCCCATAGGACAGTTTTGAATGTGGCCCAACACAAATTCATAAACTTTCTTAAAACATTATGTAATTTTTTGTTAAAGCTTTTCAGCCACTGTTAGTGGATTTTATGCATGGTCCAAGACAATTATTGAGGCCAAGAGTTTGAGACCAGCCTGGGCAACATAGGAATTACAGGCATGTGCCACCATGCCTTCTTTCAGTGTGGCCCAGGGAAGCCAAAAGATCTGAGAGTATACACAATGCCTAAGTGTTATGTTTGCAACAGGGACAAATATATATATATATATCCCTTTTGCCAACCCTTTGGTAAATTTAATCCATTCCATTTCAGTTTAAGTAAGATGTTCTTTGTATCAAGCATTCCAGATTTAGTCCAAGAATGGTTAAAAAAAAACTACTATGCATTCCTTTATTCATTTGCATTTATTAATTTGTTCACACAATAAATATTTATTGTCAGAATTACAAAAGTAAGAGCACCTTTTCCTTGTTCACAAGAAGTGTGTTGGCAACTCAGTCCTGTAAAAGAAATCATAGTTTCAACCCATGTGGCAAGTGTCCTTAAATAATCTGAATGTCTTCATTCAGCTCTCCTTTCTTCTTGACTCTCCATTTGCCTTTCAAAGAAATTCATTTGGGCATAGCAGATTTTTTTTTTCTTTGTATAATCATTTGGTAAGTTACAAAAGGAAGTAATGAAGGACTGAGTAAAGAAATTAAGAATTTTATTAGATGTAGACTGGGTACAGTGGTTTATGCCTACACTTTGGGAGGCCGAGGCGGGAGGCACACTTGAACCCAAGAGTTTGAGACCATAATACACTGGGCAACATAATACATTGCCTCTACAAAAAATATGTATTCAAAAAAAAATTAGCTAGGTATGGTGGCATGCACCATAATCCGAGCTTCTTGGGAGGCTGAATGGGAGGATTGCTTGGATCTGAGATGTGAAAACTACAGTGAGCCGTAATCACACTACTGCATTCCAGGGTAAATAATATAGGAAGACGTTGTCTCAAAAAAATAAATAAAGATTTTTATAAGATGTACATTCAAATGCATTTCACAACCAAATATTTTCATATGCTTTGAATGTTTTCCAACTAAATTTAGCAGAGTATTTTTTTTATGAAATCCTGGAAAAAAATATATAAGCCTTGGTCATGTGTTATGAGGTTGCAATATTCACTATAATTTATTTGTGTCTTGCTGATAATAATCAACAATTTATTCATAATGCTTATTAGTATACCATCATTTGTTACCACTGGAAAAGGATCCAGTGGTGACATTTTTCAAGGTTCCAATTAGATGATTTTTTAACTTTCTTTTTATTTTTTAACTTTTAAGTTCAGGCATACAAATGCAGGTTTATTACATAGGTAAACGTGTGTCTTGGAATTTGTTATACAGACTATCTCATCACCCAGACATTAAGCCTAGTACCCATTAGTTATTTTTCCTGATCCTCTCCCTCCTCCCACCCTTCACTCTCTGATAGGCCCCAATGTGTGTTGTACCCTGTATGTGTTCTCATCATTTAACTCATGCTCATATGTGAGAACATTAAGTATTTGCTTTTCTGTTCCTGCATTAGTTTGCTAAGGATAATGGTCTCCGCTTCATCCATGTCCAGAAAGAACAAGATCTCATTCTTTTTCATGGCTGTATAGTATTCCATGTTGTAAATGTACCACATTTTCTTTATCCAATCTATCATTGATGGGCATTTAAGTTGATTCCATGTCTTTGCTCCAATGACAGCTGGACCAGGGTCTTATCAAAAGCGGTACCTTTCTTTACATGAATCCTGGAGAAGATTTTTCTTCACAGATAAGCAGGTACAGGTTCAATGGCTTAGCCTCAGTTTATTTTTGCCTAGCATAGGCACTAAGACAAACATTTGCACTTGCAAAATACTGGATTTCTACATGGTATATTGAGGAAAATGTTACTTAGGACTTAATGACAAAAACCCAAATATTATTTGGCACATCACCAATTCACAAAATACCAATTACCTGACTGACAGTTTATTGCCATAATAATATGTAAAATAATGAAGTCACTAAATTAGCTCTTTGCAAAAACATGTTTTAGTTAGCCATGTGTAAAGGATTTAGCAATTCTTATGTTGCAGAAGCACAGTTAATTTTTTATGAATGGTCATTTATGGTGTATTTTGAAAGACACTTCATTTTAATTTTTCCCCATAGTTTGTTTCATTCTACAGAGTGCAAAGAACATCTTACTTAAACTCAAATGGATTAAATTTACCAAAGGCTTTGCAAAAGTGAAAGGAGAGACTAAAAAAGAAATTAAATATAACCCAGTGGCAATCATAACATTCAGGCATTGTGAATGCTTTAAATGATATATATGTACAAACCAGCCCTGAAAAATCTAATTTCTACATATTGTACGAGTTGTTATTCAAAACCAGTTTTTGGTAAATCAGTAACTGTGAATCAATCAGTAGATTAACTGCCAAATCGTCAATTTTTAGTTCCTGTTTATGACCCATTGTAAAAGGAAGATTGCATTTAGAACCCATTTGTAGTACATCCATTAATTTCTTCTTAGGAACCCAAACAATCACAATGTCATTAAAGTCGCTCTTTATCTTTCTGCTTCTTCTGTTAATATATAAACTGCTCCAGCATGCAAACGTTGATTTCAGATGTTGAAAGCAAAACAGTTGATATTTCTACTGAGAAACTGGGATTACATCATTTTTTTTTCTAGGACTACTCTCATTCCCATATTGGGAGTTCTATTTCTAAACACCAGGAATTCTTGCAGGAATTTTTATATGTGCAGCTTCAAAACAATCCTTATTAGATGGTCATTTTACTTCGACTTTTGGTATGACATTCTTTCTTCCCATGATGTGTTAATGGCTCTATGTATCCTGTCATTGGTGACACAATCCCTTCTGTAACATTGGATATTTACAATCAATGATTAACTTAATGTGTAGCTAAGTAATTAATGTTAAAAGTTTATCTTTTAAAAATGACTAAATTCATAAAATAATGTCTAGGTGCTTTTTGACAATCTGGTCCTAAGCGATCTATTTCTTTTTCACAGGGAAATGGGGGAAAATCAGACAATGGTTACAGAGTTCCTCCTGCTGGGATTTCCCCTCAGCCCACAGATTCAGATGTTCCTCTTTGGGCTCTTCTTCCTGTTCTACGTCTTCACCCTACTGGGGAACGGGGCCATCCTGGGGCTCATCTCACTGGACTCCAGACTGCACACCCCCATGTACTTCTTCCTCTCACACTTGGCCATCGTCGACATTGCCTATGCCTGCAACACGGTGCCCCAGATGCTGGTGAACCTCCTGCTACCAGCCAAGCCCATCTCCTTTGCGGGCTGCATGACCCAGATGTTTCTGTTTTTGAGTTTTGCACATACAGAATGTCTCTTCCTGGTGGTAATGTCCTGTGATCGGTATGTGGCCATCTGCCACCCTCTCCGATATTCCGTCATCATGACCTGGCGAGTCTGCATCACCCTGACTGTCACTTCCTGGGTGTGTGGCTCCCTCCTAGCTCTGGTCCATGTGAGCCTCATCCTAAGACTGCCCTTTTGTGGGTCTCATGAAATCAACCACTTCTTCTGTGAAATCCTGTCTGTCCTCAGGCTAGCCTGTGCTGACACCTGGCTCAACCAGGTGGCCATCTTTTCTGCTTCTGTGTTAATCTTGGTGGGGCCACTTTGCCTGGTACTGGTCTCCTACTCACACCTCCTGGCGGCCATCCTGAGGATCCAGTCTGGGGAGGGCTGCAGAAAGGCCTTCTCCACCTGCTCCTCCCACCTCTGCATGGTGGGGCTCTTCTTTGGCAGTGCCATCGTCATGTACATGGCCCCCAAGTCCCACAATCCTGAGGAGCAGCAGAAGGTCCTTTTTCTATTTTACAGTTTTTTCAACCCGATGCTGAACCCCCTGATCTACAGCCTTAGGAATGCAGAAGTCAAGAGTGCCCTGAGGAGAGCATTGTGCAAGGAAAGTAATTCCTAAAAGGTGTTACATTTGAATCTCCAGCCTCAGTCATCTCCTGGAATCATGGTACCAAATACCATCTACGTTCACTACTCTCTTTATATCTGAGACTGAATGAACCAACAGATTCTGCAAAGCATTCCTTTTTCCTGCCTGGGAAGTATTTAGTTTTTAACGCATTTGTTATACTTAACAGATCTATAAAAAGTTTTAAAAAAATACAGCCAGAGGCAGAGACTCCAGAACCCACTGATACCTCCGTCCACTTTCATCCACATTTGGATGTTTCCCCTCAATTGCACTTTCTCTCTTATAAATAGTAAATGTGCTTAAATGCTTACTTCAACTTGGAGAAAAATTGATTTTTATAATATCCTACCAACTATTTGACAATTTATTTTTTGGGGAGTAGGGGGGACCAAGTCTCGCTTTGTCACCTGGGCTGGAGTGCAGTGGCAAGATCTCGGCTCACTGCAACCTCCACCTCCTGGGTTCAAGTGATTCTCCTCCCTCAGCCTGCCAAGTAGCTGGCATTACAGGTGCCCACCACTATGCCCAGCTAATTTTTTGTATTTTTAGTGGAGACAGGGTTTCACAAGTCTGACAATTTCTGTTGGCAGAGAGAGTGAATCTATAAACATTCATCTGGCAATCTGAAACAATCACACAACAAAACCCACTTTCCAATGTGCCCTGAGATTGCAATGGTCATTCGTTTCTACTCTTCTTGCCTCCTCCATGGGACTGTCTGTGATTTTGTCTGAATAAGCACATACTCTTCGCTTAGAGGAAGTTAGCAAGTACCACCACACAACTTTTCATTGCTGGGGATGAATGGAAAGCCCCACGCAGAGACAATTCCATAGGAAAAAAAGGGTTTTAATAATAATGGTAATAGTTAGCATTATTATAAATTACTCTGTGCCATCCACTGCACATTGATAGGGACTTTATAGAGATAACCTTGGTTTATCATTATAGCCAATCCATTTCCCATGATCTCCCCATTTATAGATGTAAACTTTAAGCAGATGGAAAATGTTAGACTCACACCCAAACAATCTGGCTCCCAAGCTTTCTCTACTTAACCAGGACAATGTAGGACATTCTTAGCAACATTTCAAATTAAGAATAAATCTAACCAATCCTAATGTAGGAGATGTTTGGTCAATGTGGGTTCCTTCTCATTCTAGAATGTGCCATGATGAGGCCAGGGGTGTCAGAGATTCTTTATGGAAGGCTTCTTATCCTGTTTGATGAGTCCTATGGGCATGACTGCAAAGGAGGTTAAGAGATTGAGAGTAATCCCAGCACTTTGGGAGGCGGAAGCGGGTGGATCACGAGGTCAAGAGATCGAGACCATCCTGGTCAACATGGTAAAACCCCGTCTCTACTAAAAATACAAAAATTAGCTGGGCATGGTGGCACATGCCTGTAGTCCCAGCTACTCGGGAGGCTGAGGTAGGAGAATTGCTTGAACCCAGGAGGCAGAGGTTGTGGTGAACCAAGATCGCACCATTGCACTCCAGCCTGGGTAACAAGAGTAAAAGTCCGTCTCAAAAAAAAAAAAAAAGAGATTCAGAGGAACACAGAACACAAAAGGGTGGGAATGGAGGCTGTTCTCGTTGAGATCACAGAGTAAGTTTAGAACTATACTTGGTTCTGTGTGGTGAGATCCAGAATAAAGACATCTCTAGTTCACATACAACACTCACATGTGCACACACACACATACACTCACATGCATACCCCGAGTGCTTGGTGAAGCACTACTCCAAGAACTTTACAAGTAAAAGCTCTTTAAGTCCTCATAAAAACCCTATGAGGTAAAGAATATTATTACTATCTTGGGGTGAGAAAACAGAGCTATAGAGAGATTATATTAATTTAACCAATGCTCCCAGCTAATAAGTACCTAGTTCAGAATCAAACTTACGCAATATGACTGCAGAACCCATAATCATAACCATTATATAAAAACCAAAGAGACTGTGAAATTTCCAAAGGAGAAGAAAGAGGAGGAGGGATGAAAAGCAATTTTCAATCTCTAGCCAGAGATAGGCATTGGGTTCCAGACAGAAAAGTACTTAAAACTGTAAAAAACAAAAAACAAAAAACGAAAAACAGCATTTTTTATACTGCTGTGTGAAATGAGATGAGGTAGGTAGCAAGAAGGGACTGTGACTTTAAGGGTCAGAGATGGAGGAGGAGCCTCCTTGATGGGCAGGATGGTGAAACCAAAAACAATGGATTAAAGAGGTTGACACTGCAGTTTTAAGTTGATGGTTCATCAATTGAAGAACATTAGAAAGTGTTTCTGTAAGTTATCTAGCCGGGTGTAGCAACATGTGCCTGTAGCCCAAGCTCATCAGGAGGCTGAGGTAGGAGGATCACTTGAGGATTCTGAGGCTGCAGTGAGCTGTGATTGTGCCACTGCATTCCAGCCTGGGTGACAGAGTAAGACCTTGTCTCCAAAAAAGTAATAATGATAAAATAATTAATTAATTTAATTTTTAAAAATTACTTAACCGGATATACAATTTGTAATTCCATTACTGCCGAATACAGTTTTTTAATGGTTGTTTAGTTTCATGACAGATGCTGCATATTGCATTGCACCCAACACCGGGAGTGGATACAGTCAAATGGCAGAACGAAGGTGAAGAGCTCTAATTCCAGGGGTAGGTCTCAAGGGAAGAAAGCTCCCTGGTACCAGAGGAGCAGCAGGAAATCACAGTGTGCAGAAACGCTGCTCAGGAAGTTGCGTAAGTGGACCTTAAACTCTGTGTGTGCAGTGCTCTGTCAGCACTGGCCCAGGCATCCAGGAAGCCCAAGACACTGCCTAGCCCTTAAATACATGAGGCGCATACCTGAGACCCTGGGTCTAGTTCCAGGTCTACCATTTGCTAGCTGTGTTCTCTCCAGAGAAGTCCCTTAAACTGACCAAGCTTCAGTCCTTAATCTGTAAATTACACATATGAAAGCTCTTTAGGACACCCCAGAGTGCCACTGAAAACCACAAGCAAGATGCAAATTGACACATTATTTTTGAAGACTTAAAAGTGCTATGTGAGCATAAGATAAACTGTTATTATTACCATGATGTCAGAAGTTATTTTAATCCTGTTGGGGAAACTTTCTGATCGGAAACCAAAATTGCTCTTAAGACAGGAAGAGCATTGGTGCTGGTAGGTCACCTAAACCTTTGCCCTCATGGCTTCCTCATGTCCCTTCTAGAGGCACAGGAGGCCACTCAGACTTGGAGGGCACAGCCTGACAGGAACAGGAGCTGTGGCTCAGACTCAGGGAAACTCTGTGAGTCAGTTGGCAAAGGCTTCTGGGGAGCCTCTCTCTCTTTGAACCTGGTCCTAGCCCATTCACTTGGAAAAAAACAGGAGACTTCTCCCAAGGGCAAGGAATTCAGATTTGGGTTTTGGTTTCCAACTTTTTGTAATCCTCAACCTGGGGTTTACAGTACATGTCTCAATTATGTTTCATTCATCTCTGCACAAAGGTAAGGACAAGTATTGGTTCATCTCTTTATACCTAAAAATTCCTAGCACAGAGGAATTCCACAAAAAAACATGTGGAATACATAAGGACACTTTAACCATCTGTTGGCCTCATTTCCAAATTTTCAGTGTTGAGCCATCTTCTGATTTCTAACCTTCTTTGAATCTCTCTAATTTTAGGTTATAGTACAGTAGAAATTTAATTGTAGCTGATAATTATTGAGCACTTACTATGTGGTCAGCATTGCATAAAATGCTTTAATATAATTCTTCCATCAAATCTGTGGAGTTAGGTACTAATGCTATCCTAACATTAAACGGAGAAAATAAAGTTCAGTGAAATTAATTAATTTATCCAAGCTCACTAAACTATTCAGTGGTAGAAACATGATTCAAGACCAGCCAGTCTGGCTATAAATAAACTCTGAGCCACTCTCTTGTAGAAGACCTCCTGATGTTCATCGCTTGAATGGCCGGCAACAGGCCTGTTCATAGTGTTCATTGTGTTCAAATTTCTGCTCACATCATATAGGCTTAGGGATGTGTTACCGTTTATTCTTTTTTTTTTTTTTTCTAAGATGGAGTCTTGCTCTGTCACCCAGTCTGGAGTAAAGTGGCCCAATCTTGGCTCACTGCAACTTCTGTCTCCCAGGTTCAAGCAATTCACCTGCCTCAGCCTCCTGAGTAGCTGGGACTACAGGTATGCACAACCATGGCGGGCTAACTTGTGTATTTTTAGTAGAGAGATGGTTTCACCATGTTGCCCAGGCTGGTCTCGAACTCCTGACTTCAGGGATCCACCCATGTGGGCCTCCCAAAGTGCTGGGATTACAGGTGTGAGCCACTGCGCCCAGCCTATTCTTTTAAGGTTGGATATCTCGTGCATTTGATTAGTCCAATTCATCTTTTTAGCATATTCTTATGCAGTAGATATTAATAATCAAGAACATGCTATTGCTCTAGGATCACAGACAGGAAAAGAAACAATTTTGGGTAGAAATTTAGCAATTACTATTCAAAATGCTGTAATGCTTATTTATGTTTTACCATAGGGGTCCATAGTCATTGTCTTCTCACAGGAATGTGACAAATGACAGAACCTGTGATTCCAGAAGGCCAGGATGGTACTGGTGCTACACAGGAAGTCATGTCAGGGTGTTGCTCTTGAAAACTCTGACGAGAGGGTGGAGACAACTGTAGGCAGTAACTACTGGAAATGATAGGGACGGGAATTTGTATGTTGTAGTCAGTTTCTTTCCCGCCTGAAATTGGCAGCTGCAGCATCTTTGGCATGTGGACCAGGGATTGCCAACCGCCGACCGGTGGGACTGGTGTTTACTGTTCGCTGTGTGTGTAGAGTATCATTGTTAAATATAGGTTCTTGAGAATAGACAAAAAGGAAAGACATTTGGAATGCTGTCTCACTGGACTTCACAGCTCTGATGTTTTCGCAATCTGCAGAGAAGTATCTTACATCCCTTGCTTTCTTCATAATTTTTAAATAGCATTGGCTCATTTTTATCTGTGTTTTTCAAACCTGTGTTTCTCTGTTTTTAATTTTTGAAATCATGTTGTGCCAAAAGAAGAGGTGAATGACTGAACATAGTATCCTTTAGTTAACAGAACACTGGCTCAGCATGACAATATCTGGGCTCTCATGCCAGTTCACCCACTTACTCACTGTGTGACCTTAGAAAAGTTGCTTAACTCCTCTGGGCTTCAATTTCCACACCTATAAAATAAAGAATTGAACTGGACAAACTTTAAGGTCCCCTCTTATTTTCTAATTCCCTGTTACTAGTTTATTCACATTTCATATTGATTTGGA